TATAAATTTTTATATTACTCTGTATCTTCACAGTAATCTAACAATTACTAGTTCTACACAATAATATGTGACCCAAGCACAGAAGTTACATTCATGTATAGGTTCAATATCTACACACATCTCTATCAAATGTTAAACGCTCACAACTCATGAATGCAACGAAAGTTGGTATAAGATTTGTGTTGTCATGTCTTACAGTGTGTTAACCAGGGCTTTTGTTCACTCTAAATTCTGACTTGACGGATGGCTTGTGGCTTAAAGGCCAAAACAGAAAACTTGGGAAGACCTGTGGACGAGCTCTGCATTGACTTCAGAATTTTGGCCATCAGATATCAGCGTCGGAGATGATACCCCAACAGAATGGTGGAGACAGCTTCAGTATAACACTACGATACCCAAAAAAACAATTAATTTGATACCATACCCCACCCTAAATATCTCTCGACCGTAGACATTTAGTGCACCATACCCCACCCTGAAAGGAGCTTCAGCAGAAATGAATCCAGTTTTCTTGTGCAACTGCATCCATATTACCCAAAAATAAATGCTTGAGGTGCCATACAAATTATCAATATTGATTCAAGAACAGCATTATGATCATCTAAAATGTGCTCAAACAGTGCCTATCGGGGTGGTTGGGGCAGGGGAGAATCAGATTGATGATCTCCTCTACAGGTAAGTGAAAAATTTCGGCAGCTCCATTTCATTAGGACCATGGATCAGTCCAAATTCAGAAAGATTAGCCCTCCAATAATGAACATGAGTTGGAGAAGCAGAAACACTTAACAAACACATTGTTTCCAGAGTCAGATGATAATTAGATGAGCCAAAAACATATCAGCCTCTCATGCACGCACCGACAGAGACACACAAACACAAACACACACGACTCCATTTTCAGATAAGCCAGATGCAGCCTGCTGTCGACAACATCAAGCAAACAGTTTTGACCCTGATTCTCATGCTTGTACTCTTCACAAACAGCACTGTGGTGAGAACGGAGAATTATCTATCTTATGAAAATAACACAGAACAACAGAGTTAACATCAAACAACTAAACTTTAGATTATAATTGCTGGCCATAATGCAATGGAAGGAACCAACTCTGTTGGAACTCTCAGAAGCAAACATATACAGACATACACCAACTATGATATGGCTCAGAATAAGCTTACAACAACACACCTTCATTGGAAGTTTCATATTCATTGCTGGATACCCACAGTTTCCTGGATAAAGTTGTCCCCATTATTGAAGCAGAGAAAAGTAAGATCATTTTGCTCGAATATAGTTTATCCCTTACGCTGAAAAATAACAAAATTGGAGACAGTACAAGTGCTAAGAGAATAAAAAACTGATCAAAGTAGCAAGAACTGAAATAATAAAAGAGAACATATAATAAGTGAGAGAACGTTATGTCTGAAGCTGGTAATAGGCAAACAACTGCATGAACCTGCATGGACATAGCAATCACTTTGACAATCCAAACCACAAAAAACACAAACCTTTTTTCATCGTGGCCTAACAGAAAGAAATAGGAAATAAATTACACATATAAATAGTTGCAGAAACAATGGCATCTCCAAAGACATTTTCTTCTCCTCGTGTATGATTAGCAGCAGATAACATTAACCCATCTAAGGAACAGACGGAGTTGTTGGCATGGAGGAGGAAGATGACGGAGGAGTTTCTCTTTGAAGCTCCTTAACTACAGCAGCCAGTGACTCAGGGTTCAGACCCAGATCGCAGAGAGCAATAAGAACAGAGAGCGTGTGACGATCAAGCCCGGTCTCAAGAATGTTTGACATATGAAATAACAGGTCCAGAGATTCCCGGGCAGTTCGTGCAGCCTCTGGATCCATATCGAGACTATAAATGACCTTTATTTCAAAATGATTGTACTCAAATAGACTAAAATTGTAAGATGAAACCTGAAAATGGAAATAAGCACTATAATATATCGCTCACCAAATTTCCACAGATGGAAAAAATGACAATAAGCAAGCATATGTATGCATTAATGAATGGGATAGTTATTAGTTAACTCCCCCCCCCCTCCTCCTCCTCTCTCTCTCTCTCTCTCTCTCACACACACACACACACACAACACACACATACACATCTGCATATTAATTAGGGCAAACAACTTCACTTTACCTTCCTGTGATTTACCCTTTTTCACATCACCTCCCTATCATTTAAAATAGCCACATAACCCCCACATGGTTAGTGGACTAAAGTGCACTCTTAATGCTGTAAACGATAAAAGAAAAATGGCATTAGTACCCTTCCCTCTATCTTCTTCTTTAGTAGACTCCCTACAACCTTCCTCCACCAAAGCACTCAGGCCATTGTTGCGGCATGACTGCAATGCTTTGAACCAAAAGTTAAAGGAGAAAATTCAAATCAAATTCTGAGGTAAAAATCTATTAGCAAAAACCAATGAAATCAAACTTAAAATTCAAAAATCAAAATTAGAAATCATCGTTGGCATCAAGGCCCTCTCTTCACAGTTATTGAATGGTATAACATCTTCCTTTGGTTAGTGAAATTGCCTCAATAGAAATAACTGAAACTCCTATGGGTGGGTTTGATGAAATTTAAGGGTTTTGTTGTTGGTGGATACTTTGATCTGGTTTGATTGAGGTGACTATAAGGCAACGGTTGGTTGAAGATTAAAAAGGAAGAAGAGAAAAGGAATAGGTGGCTGGAGGCAGTGGACTGGACGGTGAAGAGGAAAAGGGAAGAAGAAATGTGGTTGGTGGGTGGCTGAAAGCCACGAACTTGCAGGCTTGAGAGAGATGGTGACATTGTTCTACTTGTAGACTAGAAAATCTGAATGCAGCGGTCCTTGTATTGCTCATCCTCATCGACGGAATCTAGTGAACCAGACCCATGGAGACCCATTAAGCAGAAACATATTTTTCAGGAAAAAAAAAAATGGTTTAGCTTGAGGCAGACCTGGTTTCTTCTTCCTTTCTTCCTCCGCTGTGGACTCCTTTATAGCAGGCAAGATCTGCTTCTCATAAATATGGAATAGTTTGGGCAACTTAGTCATTTGCTGTTAAGATTTTTTGAGGGAAATAGCATTTGAGCATACCCAGTTTCATCACAGCCGCATGAGAGGCACCTTTTGTTAACTTGGATGGAATTCCTAACTTTGCACTTTAATCCAATAAGCACGTGAGTGTTTTGTAAATGACAGGGAGAAAAAGTGCATTTGAGACATAGCACAGGGAATAAAGTGAAGTTTGACCTATTAATTAACCCAATGGCCTGAATCTCCAATACACAACCACCACCACCATCCACCTCTTCCACCAGCGTCAAAACCTCCAGCTCAACCATTGTGACCATCTTTGACTCAAAATTGACATCATTATCACACACAAAACTCATCACCTAAATATCTTCCATTTTCCAACCAAAAGTTCATTGATCTAAGATGTAAAGCAAACTATTAGCATACCCAGGTGAAAATTGAGAGAAACTAACATTTTTAAGAGAAAATTCATATAGATCGAGACATATCAATTGGATTAGGATATTCACAACTTTAACATTCTCATTACGAGGTGTTTTACAAAGGGAGTTCACTCCAGAATGTCAATCAATACAATTTAGTTTCTTTACATTCTCGAATTGTTGCTCCTATATTTAGTTTCTTCCGTTTCAAATCCTCAATTTTGAGATTAGCGTCACTTTAAACTATAATAAATAATAATAATAGAACTACTATTTTATTGCAATAATATGGGACTGTAGAGAAAATTGAGCCTTTCCACACCCAGCTCGAAATTTCCCTTCTAATTTTACTATATCATATATTTAATACGAAAACAAATACATACTTACATTTATACACACACATATATTGCATATACATATACATATACATATACATAATCATTTCGTCGAACATCTTCTGGGCATTTCATACAGGTTCAAGTTTATTCAGACAGACATTCCAATCCAGGAAAGAAAGCAAAACCTCTACGACGATTCTTAACTCGAAATTTATCATATTTCTAATCTTAAACTAACCAAAAAAAAAAAGGTGAAGTTATCTATTTAGAGTCAGAAACAAGTCATGCCTTCAAGTCGGAGCAGTGAGCTATGGGGTTTCTATAAACAATTTTCTGTAGAAAAAGAGATAGAGCGAGGAGACAGAGGCATAGCTAAATTTGAGAGAGAGAGAGAGAGAGAGAGAGAGAGAGAGAAGGCAGACACTGGATTTACCTGGTGGGATCGAGAGATCGATCTCTGTATCCGATTTCTTTTGTACTTGCTATTCGTTTTTGCGTGTTTTCCGTTGGCCTTAATCAAAGGGTGGGCTATTCCCAACCCTTAAACCTTCGTTCCATCCCATTTAATCTTCCTACATCCACCATCTATACTCGTTATTAAAATCACCATTTATATATTTATTAATTAAAAATTAAATTCATCTAATTTTATTTTACCTACTATATAAATAATGATCAAAATTTTATTTTAATTTACTATTTCAATACAAAAAAATATTTTTGAAGTAGAATAAAAATTAATAATTATTTTTAAAATATTAATTAAAATATAAAAAAATATCTTAAAATACCTCAAACTATTATAAAGACATTAGTAAAAACATGTTAAAATATCTCAAAACACCTCGAATTATTATTGATCATTTCAAAATATTAAAATTTCACTTCAATTATTATTTTTATTAAAATTTCACTTCAATTACTATTTTTGTTTCATTTTTATAACATATATATTTAATAGTTTAATTGAATGTGTATAAATAAGGATAGACTTAGTAGTTTGAAATAAAATGATTAAATGGTGTGAGAAAGAAAACATAAGAGGATGAGAATAGTCTCACCCTAATAAGTGATTAATTACACTTTTTACCTCAAAGTTTCTTTTGATTCCCACTTTGATCTTGAAAGTATTTTTTTTTTGGCTAATTTCCTCTTTTAACTTTCCACAAATTTTAATTGAGTTCAATTAAAGATTTTCGTCAAAAAATTTATTGAAACATACCACATGTTATTAGAAGAAAATGACATGCATCAAGTGATACACATGTGTCTTATCAAAAAAAAAAAAGTGATACACAGGTGCCTTTTCTCCTTTTTTGGGTCAACAATTTGCACCCTAGAAGATATTAAATTTTCCTATTTGCACCCTGACAGTTAAACTTTCCCGCATTATACCCTCAATCGTGTGAAATTGTTTCAATGTGATGCACATCCAAACGTCCATTCATATCTCTGTCTATTTTAAGCTCACGTGACAAGCTCATGCAATCTTAAAGGGTTAATATGTAAAATGAAAACTTTTGGAGAGAAGGAGAGAGGGGGATGGGACAGAGATAGAAAAATCCAATTGAGTTAGGGCTAAATTGAACTCCTAAGAAATTCACCAAAAGTCAGTTGCGCATCTTGTTTAACGGTGGATTGAAGAATGTCTCGGGTATGGAGGAAAGAGATTGATGATTTACGACCATGATCGGTTGACCCATGTTATAATAATGTTTCTTTATGTTTTTTTCCAGTCTTTTTCAAGTTGATGATAAATTATCAAAGGGTGGGTTTAGTAACCTTTTTATTTTTTATGTTTTTTTTAAATAAAAAAAAACAAAACTATTTTTGTTTTTGTGCTAAAAATTAAAAAATATAAAACATGTTTGATAATTATTTATATTTAAAAAATTATGAAAACAAAAATAAAAAATATATTTGGTATTTTATCCAAAATTTACCACCCAACACCACCTAAACCCACCACCAGTAACCCCTGCAATCCACCACCCTCCACCTCGAAAACCCACTCTCATCAATAACCACCCAACACCACCGAAAACCACACCCCCAAACTCCCTACAATCCACCACCCACCAGCCTGAAAATCCACCCCCACCAGCAACCATCCAAACCCCACCAAAAACCCACCAAATCCCCTACAATCCACCACCCACCAATAACACACACACACACACAACACACATACACACACAGATCTATATATACAACACATATATACACACACACAAACACAAATAAACATACACACATATAAATCTATGTATATATAACATCATATATGTAGATCTATATCTATATATGTATATATATGGTATAAAGTTATGGAAATATGGGGAAACGAGCTAGAGAGATGATGTATGTTTCCTCTTCGTCTTTGTCTTCAATTTTATATTCGTGTTTGATTTCGTCGTCAGCCTCTTCATCTTCGTCTTCGCCACTGGTTTCAGGAGAGAGAGGAGAGAGAGAGAGAGAGAGAGAGAGATGAGGGAAAAAGACGAAGACACGAAAAAAAAAGAAAGAAAGAAATAAGAGATTTTTATAGTTGGCCCAAGAAAAAATCTCATTTTATTGCTAATGAGATTCGAAGGTTGGATCTCATTAATTGTTAATAGAAAATCGCGCGTGTTTTTAGTTTTTGATGTTTTTAAAAACATCATTTTTAGTGTTTATAGAATTTGACTTTGTTTTCAAAACAATGGGGCTTAAAAAAAACATAAACATTTCAAACATGTTATTGTTTTTTTTTTTTTTGCAATAAGTGAAAAAAAAACAAAAAAAAAAAAGTAAACAAATGGTTATCAAACGACACCAAAGATAGTGGCGTTTACTGTGACATTGGTGTGTGGGATCAATTGTCAAGGCATAATGGGTGGGTCATTTTTATATTCAAAGTGTGGGCCATTGTGTTGTGTCCAATTAGGTATGGGGGTTTGTGTGAGTGTCAATTTTTTAATTATTTTATATATGTGATTTGTTTAGTTTTGTCAAAGTCTTGATTTTGTTTGATTGTTTATTTATTTGATTTGTTAAACAAAAATTTCATATGCAAATGATGGTTCTGAATACTTCATTATTCAATTACACCATGGTGGTAAAAATGTTAATGGAGTGTATGTCGGTGGCAAAGTGAATTACATTGAAATTGTGTCATTTCGACCAAATTTCTATTATTAAGTTAAGGGTGTTGGAAACTGACCAAGATACAATGGGCTTGTTTAATTAGGTTGGAATCGACAATGTAGTAGATATGTATGGGCAAAGCTATGTTGAATCTAATCTTCATGAATAGGGTTCAAAATCAGGTGGAAATAGGGATACAAATAACAGCGCTCTTTCTTCTAATGATTCTGATAGTGACTCATGCTTAGACAGTTCATCATCTAATGACGATTATTTTTTATTACAGTGAGTACGACATGGATGAGAGCCATTTGTATGACACATATGTTGACATTGATAAAGGTATAGGGTTGGCAGAGACAAAGACAAAGGGATTGATTAAGGGGAAATTATTGGTAGGGACGTGGACAAAGTGGTGGACCAAGATAACAGGGCTGACAATTATAAAGACAAAGGGGTTGATAAAGGGAAAGGGAAAAAGGGCACAAGAATGGAAGTTGATTTATGAATTGTCTAGTGAAGGCTATGCCACTAAGGAGCTATTCAGTTTTAGTGATTCATCATTAGATGATGATGATGAAGAAGTCAGTTCTAAAAGAAAGAAGAGTTTTAGGTATCCACAGTTTGATGCAAAAACTGATATGGTTGACCCACAATTCATGCTAGGACTGTTATTTAAAAATGCATCTGAGTTCAGATCTGCAATAAGACAACACGCAATCAAATGGAGAAAACAAACAAGATTTTACAAAAATAAGAAGACTAGGTTGAGGGCAGTATGTAGGAATGGTTGTGACTGAGAGATTTATGCTTCAAGCATGGCAAGGGAGAAATCAAAACATATAATACTACACATACTTGTATTAGAAGTATTAGAAGTTTTAAAGTTATGCACCCCAATTCCAAGTGGGTTGGAAGTTACTTATGTAGACAGGTGGAGGTCCAATCCCACATGGCCCATGAAGTCATTGATTAATCCCTAATTAATATATAAATTAATATAGTTAAATAAGATAATTTTATAAGATAAAACAGTTAAAAACTGTGTATTAGGGTTTGTGCGTAAGTTAGGGTTTTATTTGTGCACTGTTTGAAATTTCAGGGATTTTGTGCGGAATTGCTAGAG